AGCTTCAAGAATGACCCAAACACCACTTAAGCAAACTTTATTTTTGCTGAATTAAAAACACAACCAAGTAAACTGAGTAAAATTGAGAAAGCTAAAATCCAAATTTAACACAAGGATGAAAGACAAAAGAAGTCTACGCAGTTATTAAGAATTTGAATAATTTTGTCATGAATTAGCCTTCAGTCAATGATTGTCTCTTTAATGGTGATCTCATTGACAAGAGTTCAGTTAATGCCACACAATGATATGCTCATGTTCTCATGAGTACACTTTCCTTAACAGGTGCATGAGGATGGAGGTCAGTGGGCAAACACAGGAGAAGCAGTGACATTCTGTGCATATGAATTAATATGAGCTATTAGTTTTAAATGAAGTGGAAAAATGCTTGTGCAATCAGAAGACAGACACAGTTGACAGCCTTTAAATATTTACATCCTTGTCCAGTTTCATAGTTCATCTTTAGCCTATATTTGATTGTGGCATACATTTACAGGTACTTCTTGATAGAATTAACAGTGCTATAACTTAAATGCTCCAGGAATGAATACCCTAATTTTGTTAAATTCCAGTGTTTATTAGCTGTAAACATTTTCTGTGTCCTTAATTATAAGCATAATTTGTGAAGTAGCTTTCACACTACTTTCATAAATTCCTTGGGTCAAGGTGGTGACAGATTTTCAGCATGAAGGAATTATTTTTCTTGTGAATAGCTTCCCAAAATATATCTGTGTGATCTCAACATGCATACATGCTAGGACAGAGACATTATGATCAAGAAGACATTGTTGACTGGCATTTGAGACAGAGTGAGACAGAGTGACCTTGGGCCAATCACTCTCAGTCTCTCTCACCCTACGTCACAGGGTTGAAGTGAGGATAAAACAGGGAGGAAGAAAACTATGTATGCCACCTTGAGCTCCTTGGAGGAAATAAATACACAAATAAATATTTCCCCCCATTCTTGTATTATCTTCTATTGGATGGGAGCAAATGCAGGACTCTGTCCTTCCTATGCTTTGATGATAACACCAGAATGCATGGCTTCCTGCAAGGAAGCCTCATTGTAGCATCTTCCTGTGAATAAAGAATAAGTCAAGTAAAGTCAAGTAACATTTATTGGCATCACATAAGAACATTCAGAAAGAACATTCAGAATACATTTAAAATAGATGGGCCAGTGCGATCTCATCACCACCCCAACGGTATAGCAATCTGCCTCATCTCTGAGGGTTTCCAGCAAGGGCAGGATCCTGTAGCATACTTTGGTGATAAAAAATCAAATAGAGGAACTTAGCTACTGTCTTGGTGAGCTCCTGGTCTCTCCCCTGTAATAACCTCTGTTTCTGGTTTCCATGTTGGAATACATAATAAGAATAAGTGATATGCCAGTGTTGTACCTCCCAGAAAATGGTGCAATACTGGTGTAGGGAGGAGCCTCCAAAGACTGTGGAGGAGTCACACTGCACAGATAATATAAAACCTCTTTTAATTCTGTTAGGTTTGTTGTCCGAGAAGATCTAAATCTGTGGAAAGTAGGGATGAACATATGGCCCCATTTCAAGTACTTTGGTGATCTGTTGGAGCTAACTAAAGGTGGTGATAATGAGGCTGGATCTTAAATGAGTTGAGGCACAACTACAGTGTAATGCCCTCCCCAGTGCTGGCTCAAGACATTTTGTTACCTGAGGCAGAGAAGCAGACAGCACTTCCCCCTTCCCCAAGTCTAGGTGCATTGTATCTAAGGGCAGTTACATTATTTCGGCACCTGAGGCAGAAATTCCGACAAGCACAGCACCACTTTTCTGGCAGTAAAATATACAAGAATAATAAATTGAATATCTAACAATTTCTTGTCCTTTCATGACACTCAGAACTAGTTGCCCGTGGTGGCCATCTGACTTTGTCTGATGTCAGAGCTGTCCCTGGTTCCTGTGTACAAACAGGTTCCATTCAAAAATGACATACAGGTAAAACAAACCCCTTTCTTCAGCTGCAGTTCAAGTCAGCTTATTTTATTTTATTTTGCCACAATTTTCCTAGGAGAGATGATTCCCTGAGGTGGTTTCATGAAAAATGCAGTTCTTCCAGTTTCTTAGGAAGGGTTAGTAATATACTTAAGTACTCACATGCCCTTGGCTAAGCTTTATCTTCATTGGCAAGTGCATAAATTGAAGGGAATATTACCAGAGACGAAAATGAGCAGTGGATTAGTTGTATTTGAGCTACCAGTGGTTATTAGGACAGTGTGCCCAGATCATGCAGATCTGAGGAACTTGTTTCAAAAATAGTACATTATTATTTTTCTCTTCTTACCCGCAGAGCAGAGTTAACCAATAGATAAGTCTTGCAACTTTGCCTAGGGTGTGGTCATCACAATTGACTTTGTGTGTTGTATATATTACCTCAGTATAACTCCTTGCACTCCCATTAATGTGCCAGAGCAAGGTTGTGTATATTAGAACTTGCCGGGTTGCTGAACTGAATGGTATTCACCGCCAGGGACTTTAGCATCCCTTTATATCCTACTTATAGTTTTCTCTGCAATTCACTGACCAGACTCTCCATTTAGAACCAGTACCCCTGATAAGCACTGCAATTAAAAAGTGCATACTTGAGCAAAAACTAATGCAAAGTCATTAAGGATATGTAAAAAGCAATATATCAGCATATTACCAAGCAGAGACTCTGATGATCCCCAGAGGAGATAAGAAGACCCAGGCCTCCTTAAAATCCTTGCATTAAGTTGTCTGGACATAGTGGACATAATTTTATATTTATTTCTTTAGAAAATAATAATAAGCAGTTTAATAATAACAACAAAATATCTAAGCAGTGTACATAAAATAATAGCAAACAATTATCAATAATATACAGGGGAAATTGATTGATTATTTTAAAATAAACAACAACAACACAAGTATGCATAACTAAATTATATGTCTGGGTAGGACTGCTGAAGTGGATTTTTTTTTGCAGGTTTCTAAAACCATTTGAAACCCACCACATTTTGAGTTCCCCGTCATAGGTAGTCTTGTAAGCACGTTGAAATGAACATGTTTAGAAACCTCCTTTCAGGACTTGGCACCTAACAAAAGGCTGTTGCTAGAGGGGATGGGGCCAAAATGCACTGCCCCAGGTCATGAACATGCTTAATAATAATAATAATAAATTTATTTATTTATACCCCACCCATCTGGCTGGGTTTCCCCAGCCACTCTGGGTGGCTTCCAACAGAATATTAATAATAATAAAAGCGATAAAAGATCAAACATTAAAAACTTCCCTAAACAGGGCTGCCTTCAGATGTCTTCTAAAAGTTAGATAGTTGTTGATTTCCTTGACATCTGATGGGAGGTTGTTGCTTTTACTACCATTGATTGTCTCAAAGTTTGGATTCTGTTTCTGGCCCCATGTAGCTATAAGATTATTATTCCTATCATTTACGAATTGTTTCCTATGAAGCATATCAATACAATGTCATAATAGAACAAAAACACACATAAAAACAATAGCACCTTTTTAAAAAACAAAACAAAACCCCCAGTTAGCTGCAAAGAGGGATGCCAAGATGATTTCCTGGGCCAGGTGCCTGGATGCCTCTGGAGGTGGGAGCAGGTACTGCCTTTGTCACAGCTTACAGTGGGGAGAAATAATTCACAGAGTGGTGCAAACTTCAACCAATTTTTAAGGAACAGACGAAGCCACATGCTAAATAAAACATGCAGGCAGATGACTATGTATGCAAGGTGGCCGTGAGTATGTATAAGTAATTCCAGCAGCACTGCCTAATTAGCCCAGATAAGAGTAAAACCTCAGATCTTGAATTTTCCCATAAATATTTAAAAATTCCGCTCACTGAGGCAAGCACTGTCCTGAAAATAACTAAGCATCTCTCCTAATGCTGTGAAGTGGAGCTGTCAATAGCACCCATCTCCCGGCAATGATTAGCAGGAATAACATTCTCATTAGGAAAAGAAATGGTTGCATTTGGATGCTTATTTCCCTGTGTGGGAGCTGAACACTGCCGCTAATGTATTATTTGCTTATTGACTTACCTGTTAAACAATAGGTGGCTGGCAGTGTGTATTACAGCATAATTTGCGCCCCATGAAAGGGGAATGCTGTACCAAAATAATCTCTAGTGCAGGTTAGCACATTGCCCATGAAAGCACTAACATTCTGGATGGGTTGAAATTCAAGGAGAACATTCCAAACAACACATTATTAGGGGCTCGGTTTATATATGAAGAGAGATACAGTATGTTTCCGCTGACAGTATACGAAGCAATGGCACCGGGGATTGAGATTTTGCTTTCCAGCTTGCAAAGTAAACATCCTGTGTATGAGAAGACCTACAGCAGATTTGTCAGTCTCTTGCAGAGACAAACCTTTTCCCCAAGCCTGAGAGAGGCATTCAGTTGTGGACAACCTTCTAGAGGCCAGATATAATGAGTGGGCAAAAGGAGCAGTGTTGTATTCTTTTCAGCTCCACACAAATGGGAGGTTGCCACACATGCATGCTGGCATGCATCTCTCCACCCACCAGTGAAAGGCAGAGTGGTGTAGCGGCTAGAGTGTTGGACTAGGACATGGGAGACCAGGGTTTCTAGTACTGTGGTCCTATGATTTTAACACTGTGGTGCCTCTGGTTTCCAGTTAGTACAGTCGCACCTTGGATCCCGAACACCTTGTGAATTGAACATTTTGGCTCCTGAACGCCGCAAACCTGGAAGTGAGTGTTCCAGTTTATGAACGATCTTTGGAACCTGAATGTCCGACGTGGCTTCTGTGGGTTGCAGGAACTTCCTGAAGCCGCGCTATGGTTTCTGAATGTCTTGGAAGTTGAATGGACTTCTGGAAAGGATTCTGTTCAACTTCTGAGGTATAACTGTATATAGATCCAACTTAAGGGTTTGTGAAAGTCCTCCATGGTCTGGGAACTACTTACAGAAAAGACTACCAGTTCTCTTACATCTCTCCCAAGTCAATAGAGATTATACTTCATGTAGCTCAGTTGGTAGAGCATGAGACTCCTGATCTTGGGATTGTGGATTTGAGCCCCACATTGGGCAAAAGGTTCCTGGATTGCAGAGGGTTAGATTAGATGATCCTCGTGGTCCCTTCCATCTCTACATCTCTTCTATGATTCTACTATCAGGATGACTTCTTTGGGGGTGCTTTTCTTGTGGCCTCCCAGAATGTGTTTAGTAGCTGATGACAGAAGCAATGAACAAGAAGGACTTTATGCTAGTTTCATAATACTTCTTCTGTTTATTTTCTTTGAAAGATTCGTTCCCAATGTGTGCAGCTTTCTACTGTTTCTTTTCAGTGGGAACCTCCCTCTGCTAAGTTGCTTTTTATTTATTTTTTAAAAAGTAAGAAGACATATACGGTATTCATTTATTCATGTGTGTATTTCAAGGCTCTCAAAGTGACTTACTGATCTGGTAACAGTACAATAAAACACATTAACATTAAATCAAATCAGATGATGTTCAATTAAACAGTCAATAGCAGCATCCTTAACAGCAAAAATTATGCCTTATACACAACCACTTGAAATGGTGTTTCACAGAGGAAAAGCTGGTTTGAGAGAGGAGTTTGGAGTTGGAGTTGCTTAACCCTTTCCCTACATGATGTTTTTTCCATGCAATTTGTCAGATCTAGTGACATCGCTCTGATCCCAAAATACAATGGCCTGGTTCTCATGTCACTGTAAGCCAAACTCCAGGGGTGTTGAACCTGTGGCCCTCTTGCTGGATTAGAACTTCCACCATCCCTGACCATTGGCCAGTGCTGGCTGGGGCTGATGGGAGCTGGGATTCCTGCAATACCAGGAAGGGCAACAGTTCCCTAGCCTAGGCTTAGCCGGACTGTGAAAGTGTGCAGGCTCCTGGAGAGGTTCCCCAGTCCTTTTTGCTGCTGTACTGCGTTAAGCCAATTAAACTCAACGGATATGACTTCTTGGTAGCTATATATGGATTTGCACTGTAAATCTTATATACACTTCTGCTGTATTCAACCTGTATCCTGGATGCCCTTTCATTCTAGTAAACAAATCATAATTGTCAAAGATGCCCCAAGAAATCTATCTTTTAACATCCTTCTCTAATTTGCTGTTGTACCCTTTTCCCCCACCACCACCAAAAAAAGTCAGGGTCAGCACCCCCTGCCCCCTCAAAAGGGACTTGGAACAATCTTCTCTTTTTCTTCTCTAATTGGGAGTAAATTTTCATCTTGGCAGAAGATCTTCCATGAAAATCTCATTAACATTAATAAGGATTGTGCATATAAGCCTCTGTTAAGGAAGGTGAAAATTTACCCCTTGCTTTCAACTGCGAGATTCAAATTGGTTCCTCTGCAGCCCAAGGTTATTTAATCTCAGGAAAAAAATATTAAAAAATTTGACATTCTAAATGTTGAGGAAAGCATTTCGAGTTACTCCCCCCCTTCCTATTCAGAAAGTTATTTGGGGGCCACTAGGGGGCGCATTGGAAGATGGCTGACAATAACATCTCTCTGACCCACACGAGGTAATTTGGAGGCTATGATGGGGGTAATTAGCCTCCTTAACCCCCCCAGGATTGTGGGGGGGACGGCCCTTGCCTGCTGTGCCCTATACCACCCCCGAACTTGTGGGGATGGGGGCACTAGGCACAAAGCCCTTCTGTGGGATTTCAGCACTCCTGGACGCCGTCCCTGATTCGCGCCACTAGATGCAAGAACTTCAAAAGAAACAATTTGGATGAAAGGAATGCACATATTTCAAGAAAGAAGGGGGAGTAAAGACTGCTAACAGAAGAGATCTCTGACAAAACAAGATAAGAATAAAACATGAGAAGATACGCCAAGACAAGGTACGGCAAATGACTGATGGGGGAGGGGGGAAAACTCTCCCTTCTTTTCTTATGTGATTAAACAAGAATCCCCTCCCCTCACGAGTCAGAAATGTCGTTTTAAGGACTTAAGCTGTGGATTTAAGGCTGTGTGGAGATAAACTTTCGAACCAAAGCACGTTTTAAGAAGAGCGTGGAATGTGTAAGAGCTTTGGAATGACGCAGTTAAAAATGCCGTCGCCATATTGGGAAGTTCTGTCGGAGGTCTTGAGTCTGGGAGGAGAAAGAGAGAAATAGAGCTGTTTATATATTGTGGGTTAAACTCCTCAGTGGGACTTAAGAGCGACAGTTTTATGAGACTATGATGGAAAGAGTGATGTTATCTATGAAGGAGATGATATATGGAAACCATCTCGATTTGAGGATTGGAAGAACGGAAAATTCACACAGGACTATTATTACTATTGGTGTTTATCAGCTTAAGGAGACTATCAGAAGAGATCATAAAGAAAGAAGAGAAAATATATGAACAAGATGTGATGTGGAAACAGCAAGATAAGATGGGATAGAATTATGAACTCTGTTTGGACTGATTTGGACTGATTGGGACATTAACGCAGCAGCAAGAAGATGATCAGAATTCCCCTTCGGATCTTGAAATATGGGTCCCCCCAACAAAATTTAAAATTCGGCTTTGTAATTCGGAATTTATGTGATATGATTTAATTTGATGTGATTGGCCAGTTAATAAAAATTATTTTAAAAACCCCAAAACAAAACAGAAAGTTTTTTTCATTTTCGGTGTGGCATTCCTTTATGATAAAATACATTTTTAATTATTTTTAAAGACAATTTTGGTAGGCAAGAGCTGACAAATATCTGAATAAAATGTCCGTGCATAGAATACAGAGGGTGGCATCTCATATTGTCATAGGCTTGTTTTCATTATCTGTAACAATTTCCCAAAAGGAGGGATGAGGGAGGGTTTTGCTACAAAACATCCCGTTGTTCAGAATCCAGGCTTCTGCATCTCATAAGACTGTCATTGATCCTTGGAGGAAGTTGAGCCTTTGAGAGCCCTTTCATCACATTTAATTCTGTTATGAGATAAAAAAGTGACAATTGACAAAATTGTTCTTAGTTGGGTTACAACAACACACACACACGCAGACATACATTTTTAAGCAGAGAAATCTTTTTAAAAGTAGTGCTTATTTTCCTAGTTTATAAACAGTAAATGTTGCCCCCACATCTGACAAACAGCAAAAGAAAGCAGAATCATTGAGCATTTAAAATGATTTTTTTAAAACACAATTGTCCTTCTTCCCTTACAGGAACTAATAAAAAACAGGCTGTCTGTTAAAACCTAGCACATATCCTGCATTCTCAAGAGGAGAACAAACTCAAGCAGCTGCCAGGATTATAAAGGCTCATCGGTTCTTATCTGATGGATAACTTGGACTTGCACTAGCATTACATACACTGGGGACCTGTACGGGGTTTTTTGGGTTTTTTTACAAGGTTGGATTGTCTTTAAGCAAGGAATAGCAGAGACATTCCATTCTACCCTGCAGGAACAGAAATATGTTATATTTAATTGCTATGCTGAAAATACTGCAATGCTAAACACTTGTCCTATGTGTGTGTGTGTGCACATTCAAATATGCAGACCAAGATTCAAGTGTGGTATTCATAGATTACAGAACTCATCTTAATTCCAGTGTATATATTTTTAGATAGAACAATCTGCTATCTAAATCAGAGGTGGGGAACCTGAAGAACGTAGGCCCCAGCCAGCAAGGCCAATGGTTTGGGATAATGAAAATTGTTGTCCAGCAATATCCAGAGGACCACAGGCTCTAATCTAGACTGTACACCCACACCCACACACCTGTTTCCAACAACCATTACCTGACACAACTCTGATGGTTTTTGTTAGTGATAATGATTCAACCGTTCCGACTTAATGTTCTTACGGTACATTATTTAGCGAAGTATGCAGTTTCCTCTTCTTCAGTAGCGAAAGACTGGGGTGTTAAACCAACAGTTTATTAGAGGCCGTAAGTGACATTATTTCGTGGTTGGAATCCTGTAATCAGTTCCCATTGGGAAGTTCTGCTTCAAAGCTTTGGTGGAATGAATGGTAAATGTAAAGGTAAAGGACCCCTGGATGGATAAGTCCGGTCAAAGGCGACTATGGGGTTGCAGCACTCATCTCGCTTTCAAGCTGAGGGAGCCAGCATTTGTCCACAGAGAGCTTTCTGGGTCATGTGCCCAGCATGACTAAACCACTTCTGGCACAATGGGACACTGTGACGGAAACCAGAGAGCACAGAAATGCCATTTACCTTCCCACTGCAGCGATACCTATTTATCTGCTTGCACTGGTGTGCTTTCAAACTGTTAGGCTGGCAGAAGCTGGGACAGAGCAATGGGAGCTCACTGCGTCACGGGGATTCAAACCACCGACCTTCTGGACGGCAAGCCGAAGAGGCTCAGTGGTTTAGACCACAGCGCCACCCTGAAATGAATAGAATGTTTGTGGAAGGGCTGTGGCTCAGTGGTAGAGCATCTCAGCTTCAATATCTGGCATCTTCAGGTAGGAACAGAAAGCTCCCCTGCTTGATATCCTGGAGAGCCACTTGACAATCAGTGTACACAGTACTGAGACAACCTAGCAGTTCAAAAACATACCAGTGCGAGTAGATAAATAGGTACCACTGTGGCGAGAAGGTAAATGGCATTTCTGTGTGCTCTGGCTTCTATCGTGGTGCTCCGTGCACCAGAAGCGGTTTAGTCATGCTGGTCACATAACCCGGAAAGCTGTTTGCAGACAAATGCTGGCTCCCTCAGCCTGAAAGCAGAGATGAGAGCAATACCCCAAAGTTGAATTTGACTGGACTCAACCATCCAGGTGTACTTTACCTTTACCTTTACTGAGCTAGGTGAATCAATGGTCTGACTTGATATATAGTGGCTTCCTATGTTCCTGTAAGCCCCCGTTAATTTAAATGTGGCTTGTGAGATACCTTGCTTCAACTGGAGTATAGTTTCCAGAGAATATTTGCCCTCTAAAGAAACTTTGGCAGCACAGTAGTTCAAAATTGAATTACCTTTTCAACCTAAGTATGAGAAGATAGCATCTTTTGGATATTTTTAAAGGCCTCCATCTCTGTTCCTATTTTTCATTCATTTTCTCCGAGTTCCGTGAACTCACATCAATATCTCCTCTGAACTCT